AAAAAAAAACTCTAATTAACTTATTTTATATTATATGATCCGTGATTATTTATTCGCTTTATTGCATTTCCCGCATTTTAACTCGATTATAATTATTCACCGCGTTGGCATCACTGGCTTCTGAATCGTGTACGTAAATGCAATAATAATCCGACGAAAAATAAACAAAAACGGTAGAATGTAATAAAGGCAAATTCCGCAAAATTGCAGCGGCCACGCTGCTCGTGCGTAACGGGATACATGTGATATTTCATACGTGAAAAACGTAGAGAGCACATATCTACGCGGTATAATAAAAATCCTGACGAACCGGATGCTTACATATCCGCGAGCTGTAACGGATATACGTCGCGCTCGCCCATCCTATTCATCGATATCACCGAGTATCGGCAGTTGATATAAGAAATTCACGTTCGACTAGACACATCCATTTACGAGATAAAATATAGCCTAGTGGCGTGATGGTTTTCCGAATAGCGTAGTCCCGCGACATCGATGAGAGAGCCGGTGTGTATGCACGTGTATAATATACACATACACGTGCGGATGCGCACGTATTATTATATTTACATAGCCACGTATATGCGTTTTCGCCTTCGGAAACCCGGGCCACCCCTCACCTTAGCCACGCAGTGCCACGCAGTACCTGTCTTCTCGCCGAATTGCCGATAGTGGAAAGGTGGGAGGAAGGTGGCTCTCTTGGAAAACGGAAACGCGAACGTGTCTCGTGTTAACGTCGCCGCGAACACACTCGCAGATGACGATCTATGTATCTCACGGCACGTAAATTCACGACGACCAAGGGTTGTTGCGAAGTTCTGTCGTGCATTTCTGATGGCTATCATTTGGTATTGTAATCCTGGACGCACCGGGACGAGAGCGTGTATACGCGATGATAATGGACGAATGATCGTCTAGTCCATCGACGTGCACCGCTAACACGATTTTCGAATTGCGCCTCGGACCACGGGATAACGAGCCGGCGAAGCCTGATTAGCAATTATCTTGTAATAATGCTGAATTCTGCATGCGAATAAAATGATCGCATCGAACGTAGCTATTTTGTCCTCGTCGATCGAAACGATGAAACAATACGGTCTTAAGAAAATCGTCCGGCGAATCCTCGCTTTTCAGCGCGTTGATCTCTGATAATTCGCTGCCTTCAGCCATGACTATAAGCAGGAATCGATAACGCCTAAAAATGGAAGACGGGTCAAGTGCGGTTCGGAAACACATGACCATGCTATTGGTAAAGGATCAACTAGCCCTGCAGTTCCCTTCGTGCTTAGTTCGCAGGATTATAGACGGGACACCTGACGTACTCCCATCGGTCCGAGCGAATCGAGAGCCAGATAGAAACAAGAAAAGATAGAGGGGAAAAAGCTCGGGAGAGAAAAAAGAAGATTTTGCTTCCCCCAGCATAGTTGAGTTCGAGCAGGTGACATCGACTCCCTAATCCGAAATTCTTATTTCAAACGGGACAAACAGGAGGAATCGTCGTGCAAAAACAAAAGCGTCGGTCACCGTACGCTACTCATCCGTGCGGACAAACGTACCCGAGGAACGGAGAAAGCCGGATTGTGCAGAGAGCATCGCGACAGGAAAGTTTTCGAGCCGGATTTTCATTCGGAAGAGCGAAGTGGACCAAGAGAACACCTCACGGCTTTAGCATATTCGCGTGGAATGTCAACACGCGCACACGCGCGAGATTAACTTGACAATAACGTCTGTGGTATTTAAAAAATGCGACTTGTCCAAAATTTAATTTTCCAGAAGTTTATTTCCTATTTCTATAGAAATAATCGATAAAATTGTCTAAATAAATGGTTAAAAACGGCATTACTCTTATAAAAAAATAAAGAAACAGGAGAAAAATATGAGATACAAGGCGCGAAAATGTCACAATAGTTTTTGAGGAAATGATTATAATGCACGTTTAAACGAAACTTGTATTACAACAATTTACATTGTCTCAACACGTCATACGGGGCTAACGTTGCGAGACTATGAAGGTGCCGAGACGCGCATCCGCCAGTCCTGAAGGTGTCTTCGTGCGGCGCTGACTGTGGCCGAGGTGTCCGGATTTCCGGCTGTCGTGCCCCCGGGTTCGCCAAATTGCACGCCACCTGGCAAGACGAATAGTTCGACGTGGAATGCGTCGCAATGAATCCACGAAACGCCTCGTATACCACCGACCCCGCGTCAGGATTCTCCTATCTGGACAATAGTACTAGAGAGCTGTTACTTACCGGGGCCGTAGTCAAGGAAGACGCACAGGCATTCCGACAAGTACAGGTTGAATTATAGAAAACAGAGAATTTCTGAAGGATTATACCTGGGAAATGTAAGCGGTTTAATCAAACTCCGGGGCTGGAATTTTCGCTTTTTCAAACATCCACAGTATCGAGTTACTTAATAAGGGCTATATGTATTCAATATCCTGAATATTTTAAATTCAACACGATACGAGAATTATATTTCAATACTGAACTTAATTCTATTAACAATTTTTTTTTTACTTCTTTAGATCGTAATTTGATTTTTAATTCCTTTGATTGTAGAAGCGTTTAACTCTTCCGGCTCATTTGTCTTTGTCGATTTAGATTCTTTTTTTTTTTCTTTGCGAAATTGTCATCCTCTTCCGATACTTATCCTGTTACATAGCTCGTGCGAATATGATATGGACGATAGATGGAACGCTTCTCCTGGGGTTTGCGTTATTTCATGCCGTTTGTGAGACTAGAGCGTCGGCTTCCAGTAGTTGCCGATCGAACGTTTGACATGTGTTTCTTTTCTCTTATCCGCTTTATTTGTGGATTGGAACAAAGCGCGAGGCGGAAGAATATTTGCGTAAACTGGTGAGAAAGATGGAGCGCGAGAATTCTATGAATACGTTTCCAAGTTCAAATGCCCATGTGATTTCCATGTCGCGGATGTAGGATAAGGGAGGTTACAAAAAACTCCATGTTGGTACCGCAACATGACAATCTAAGCTTAGAAAGTTATATTTAGGAAAGTTATATTAAATTTCCTTGTGTTATCATAAAGATACTTTCTATATAAGTTTGACAATTTTTTAATAATATATGATTTAATATAAATTATTATTTAATAAATCTTTTATTGCTTAAACATATATATAATATCACTAAAACATATATGTAATTAAAATATATAATAAAACAATTAAAATATATAAACGATTAAAATAAAATACATGGGCGCGCGTATGGCACAAAGTACATGAGAAGCAAGTGAGGAAAAAATTGCACACAACGAAATTAACGTTATTAAAAATGCTTTTGCATGGTCCCACAACCTAGTCGAATAAATTCTCGGAAACCTTTTTCGGGATCCTTTGTCACTCTCGGCAGTATTTACTTTTTTAACGGCGCAAAGCTTTCCCTTGCAAATTTTCGATTTTTCGCTGTTGAGAGATCTAGAAGGTTAAAATGGTTTTAATGGATTTCGTTGTAACAACATCTAATACTAGATTTTGATGGACGTATTGTCCACGCTACTTTCGAACGAGCCACGACAATAGCAATAGTTTATTACTGGAATGCAATGTTTATTACTAACTTTACTTCCGTGAGAAGAAATTCCTCTCCGGTCTTTCCCGACCGACTTATTCCGATCGTTTACTTCACGTGTGATTTCTCTAAGAGGGTTGCCGAACCAACATAAACCGGGAGGCTGACAGGCACGCGAAAAGATTTAATCGACCATACGCGTACTCACGTTCAATTGTACGCTGCCTGAGGTCGATAAAAACAGAGGCGAACGATTCTTCCTGCTCGCTGATTTGAGAACCGGAAGATACGTTTCTCTCTGCGAGCGTTTTTCGCCTCTCTCAAATCACTCACACTATTCCCTACAGACGACATCACATCTGAAAATAAACGACGACCTTAAAGTTTCCCGATATTCATTATATAAAAGCATAACAGTAATTATAATTGCTGTAACATTGAGATGAAATGTGTAATCTTCTTTTTCTGCTCGAGAACAGCGGAGGGGTTTACGATCAGGGAAAAAATCTCAGCCGCCAATTTAATCTGGAGTTCCATTCTTTTCTTAATTGTAAATAAAATCGCAGGATAACGGATCGTCGTTCGATCTCGCAGAGCAAATTTATTTAGTCGATTGATCTCCTCGCGCGACAGTATAAAGTTTTCTTATCGCGGACGCGAAGCTTCATTCGCAGCTTTTTGTTGCCTAGCGAAAACTTTAATGGAAAGATTACAACCAAATGACAGTAAACGTAACGCGAATTGAAACGTGAATGAGATCGCTGAAAGACTAATAAGTATAGTGATTGGATAATATCCCGGCGGCGATGCGCCTCGAGGCTTCGAGCCATTTGCCACTTATCCCGACATCGCAAACGACGATTGCAACGACGACGATGTCGTAATTGCTGTTTACGTCCGTGATTCCCGCGAATGCACTTTAACTTTAAAGAGTGCCCCCTGCTGGCACAATAGTGCGCGAATATCACGCGCTATTGTTCCTTTTAATCGATTGTCTTTAAAGAGCTTTGTATCGGGCAATGAATCGCCACTTTTATGGAATATTAGCAAAGTCTCAAAAGATTTGCATTCATAAAAGAACGGTATTTACATTTTAACCAGCTTGTTTACAACAAGCTATTCTTTTTTAATAAACATTGAATTTTCGTACGAACAATCTTGAGCGATAATTTACAAGCTTTTCGATAATGAGAGTTCGAGAAACACAAATAGACGTAATGTATCAAAACTCGATCTATTGATTAAAATCTATTTCAAAATCGTTGTACAAGATTCAATCAATTTGAGAGAATTAATTACATTTAATTGTGTAACGAAAAATAACTTTACATCGATTATTTGAAAAAAGTGCTGTGAAATTAGTGTGTAAAAATATAGACAATTAGGCGAGAATACAGAATGTAATAATAAAGATAATTTGCGACATCAATAGAGCATTTATTAAATTAAAACATCGTTATGTTTCAGGATCATGCAACCAGTCCCTGGGGATGGAGTCGGGTGATATACCGGATTTAGCTATCACTGCGTCCTCATCGTACGTGGCGAACGTCGGACCACGAAATGGCCGGTGAGCATATTACTTTTATGACATATTCCCTTTTTCAATGTTAAAAGTTACGTTATTAACGTATTTTTAATGAACTTGGGGAAGGTAGATAGGCTCAACTTCGTCCATCGAGTTTAACGTACCAACATCATCAACAAATCCATTATTTTTCGTTCTTTCCTCGCATCTATTTATATTTTACGCAACTATAGCGACGCGTTTTGTTTGCAATTCAACTATTCCATTCATCTATCCATCCATCCATCTATTTGTTCCAAAAGTTGGCTTTTCCCGAGCGATAGAGATATTGATTCAACGATTCACCCTGGGAATTTAACTTATTCAAACCTAATTTCCTTCAAGTTACATGCCTAATGCGTCTGCGACTATCAAACGCGCAATCCGGTTACGAAAAGCACTAATCGCGTTTTGTGAAGATGGAGAGTAGCGTAACATTTCTACAAAGCAGAAATCTATTGCCATTTAAACGATGCTTTTTAATTTTATTTTAAGAATAAAATTACGTAACAAAATGTTATTAAAAAAATATACATTTTTACGTATAAAACATACAACTCGTTATATTTAATTAATCGATTCATTTTATTAATATGAAAATATGAGTAAAGCAAAGGAAGTGGAAAAATTGAACTTTTTATTCACTTCACTTCGTAATAAATGTTTCATATCATTTTGCAATCGATTAACTCTTCGTTGGAGCAAAATATAAAAATTTATTGTAAAAAGCATGAATTAAACAGATGGTGTCTAATTAAGCAGAACATATACAAAAATGTAAATTGAGAAACGAATCGTTCCACCAGATTATTACGTTTTAGCGAGGTATAATTAAAACAGTGGTAAAGACGATCATTGATCAGACGTCAGGCTAGTCTGATAAATGAGTACCGGCCGGAGGTTTGGATACCTCAAATTGTCGGTCTGAGGAGAGCTCGTATACATATATAAGGATGGTATATAGGGTACATATATAAAGAGCTTGACCAAAAAAAAACAACTATGTATTCTTTATGTATTGTTAATGAATAGAAAGAGAAAGAAAGAAAGAGAGAGAGAAAAGAGAAAGAGAGACAGGAAAAGATTCAATATAATAAGATTGCGCTATAGATGCGATGTTTATTCATTATTGTTCACGTCCAAAGTTTTGCAACATTGAATCTTTGAATATAAGCTTTAACTGAACGAAAAATAACTCAATATTCTACATAATGGCACAGGAAGATACCACGTTCTCCCCGTTCGCGGCTTTACAATATTAATAGCGAGCTTTGTTTATACTTAGTTGGCACTCTTCACGCGTACAAAGTTTCCGTAACAACGCAATTTACTTAATAATATGAAATTTCTATCAACTGCGAGTACACAAAATTTCTCCGTAACAATGAAATTCTTTTGTACTGAAAACTGTGTTATGTGAAAACTGTGAGCGCAGCAAATACAAATTAATGTGGCACAAGTACTACTTGGAAGTCAATCGTCAGTGAAAGGCGGCAGGAAAAAGCGAAAATTTTCCCGATCTACGGCGAAGTTAACTTTGTTATTAAGTACGGGACGCCACTTGGCCAGAAGTGGTTGAAGGTGGCAAACTTTAATTTGAGCCGTTTAACACAAATGTAAATAATTGACAGAGAAAACGTGAGCGGAACGAAATGGAGGAATAAAAGCGCGAGTGAATCATGAATTTGCTGTTTAAGTATACTTTTCAGAGGGTGGAAATTCTTAAGACCTAAAAAAGTGATCTCGCGATTGTTCTTTTTAATTAAAATGATAGTAACAAAATTGTGTATGATATAATTACGCGAAAAAGCAGACTCGGAAAATGATAATTTCACTACTAAAATGATAATTTTAGTTGGAAAAGGCAGTAAAATGATAATTTTATTTTTCGAAATGGGAAGATCAACAATCCTTTTACGTAGGCCATTGTTTACAAACTGCATATATAATTATAATTTCTTCATTTTTAACTTCTTAACCATAAATTATGGCAACATAATTTATGCAAATATTTTTTGCAATTTAATTTTCTCTCTTCTTTTTATTCAGTTATAAATTTCTAAGTAAAAAATATTGCATAATATACTTATTACTAACTATATTTAATTAATAACATAAGAGCTAAAATCTTGAAACTCAGAGATTTTATCAAAGATACCAAAAAAAATTCAAGAAGATGATTTTCGAGAACAAGATTAAAGTTAAAATGTTTGCATGCTTATAAAAGTCGCTTTCAACATCTCTTACCGGGAAAAACTAATTTACTAATAATGTATGATAAATGTTTTTTTTAATATTTAATATAGGCCATATTATTTTTAATATTTAATATAGGTAAAAATAATTATTTTCCAAACATTCTGTATCTATACATATATATATATATATACTATATATCATAATATAAATATATGAATTTGTTATTGGAAATATTTAAAATAATATTGTGAAAGCGTGCATGTTCTTATAAAATTGAATCATAATGTTAGCCGTGTAGAGAGAAATATTTATAAAAAACATACTATTATTTTACACAGACTCCGGAAAGAAACTGCCGGTGGTGCTTGGTGCCCAAAAAGCCAAATAGAAAAAGGCGTATACGAATGGCTTCAAGTCGATCTACGTGGTGCTCACGTCGTTACTGGTGTGCAGACACAGGGCCGTTACGATCACGGTCGCGGTCAGGAGTATGTTGAGGGTTATACCCTGGAATATCGACGTCCTGGCTTCGCTCAGTGGCGCCGATATAAGCGCTGGGACAACAAAGAGGTAAGGCAAAACTGGTAAATCTGTTGATAGTCTGTAAGGAATAAGCCCAATTGAGCTCAATTTGTCAAGCTTATCGTTCCCTATCGTTGGCCTTCTTTGGTTAATTAATTGGCTGAGAGAATGAAGTCGCTCTCTATATTTTGCTCTAAATAATAAAAAATAAATTAATATAAAAAAATCTGATAACTTAATATTATAATAACTTTTCAAGTATTAATCTTTTTAATAATTTTTTAATTATTTTATTAAACAATTATTTTAATTGCTAATATATATACACATACATATATTGATCTTATATAAATTAGAATATATGCAATATATGTATATGAAGTATGTTTTAAATCGAGTACCGCAGGGAAGAGAATAACTGTAGGATTTAATTACAACAAACGTTCGATTGTAGAAGTGTCGTACGCAGATTATTTGGAGTTTACATCGTGTCTCAATTGGAACAAACTCAAACAAACATACGTAAACGATGTGAGTAGAACAAAACTACAAAATCGATCGAAAAAGCGCTCACGTGCTCTTGCGTCAAATTGAAATTTTATTCCAATTGAAATACAGAAGACTTCGAGTTGCACGAAGTCGCTTGTTCGTAAAGTCATAATTAGAACTCTACTTGGCACTCGCTTAACGATGCTTAATTGGTGGAACTTTTCCTATGCCAATTAATTATCCGTAAGGAAATTTTATCTTAGCGGCTTAATGCTTCTTATATAATAAATGTAAAGAGAAATAAACGAAAAATTATGCACAAAAATAGATAATGAATTTCTTGTTACATTAATATACTATAAATATTGATGATTGCATAAGTTCGTGCCCGATTTAAAGATAAACTTCAATAGGTTATATTTTAAAGAATACACTTTTATTAATTTATAGTCTCCATTTCCTCTACAATGTTTTCCAACGATCTACAAGCTTGTCGATTCCATTTTTGAAGAAAAAACTTGGTTTTTTTTGAAAAAAGTTTGTAAGGTGCTTTTCGACAGCTTCCTCGGAATTGAGATTCTTGCCATTCAAACTATTCTGCAAAGACCGGAACAGATGAAAATCTGAAGGCGCAATGTCTGGAGAGTATGGCGGGTGCTGCAGAATTTCCCATTGCAACTCCTGCAGTTTTCGCAGCGTCTGTTGGGCGACGTGTGGCCTAGCATTGTCGTGATGGAAGATGATGCCTTTTCGATTGGCTAAAACCGGACGTTTTTCTCGAATAGCTGCATCGAGTCTAGTGAGTTGCTCACAGTATTTGTCCGCCGTGATTGTTTCGCCGCGTCGGAGCAGCTCGAAGTGAATAATTCCCCTGCAATCCCACCAAACACACAGCAACACCTTCATCGGATGCAGGCCAGCTTTTGCGACGGGTTCTGCTCCTTCAGCTGCTTTTTTCCATGTCCTCTTCCGCTGTACGTTGTTGTAGAGAATCCACTTCTCATCGCCTGTTACCATTCGATCCAAAAAAGGCTCTTTTTTGTTACGCTCGAGAAGGGAAAGGGCTACAGTCATGCGGTTCAGCTTATTCCTTTCAGTCAGGAGATGCGGCACCCACGTATCGAGCTTGGAAACGTATCCAAGCTTTTTTAAATGGCGAAAAGCGGTTGAATTATCAATGTTCAGCCTCTCAGCAATATCCTCAGTTGTAATCCTTGGGTTTTTTTCCACTAAGGCACACACAATGTCGTCATCAATGCCAGAAGGCCGTCCAGAGCGGGGTTGATCTTCCATGTTAAAATCACCATTTCGAAATCTGCCAAACCACTTTTTGACTGTCCGGAGAGCAGGAGCACGGTCCAAATAAACGCTCTGAATGTTTTTTTGTGCAGTCCCAACACTCACGCCTTTTCGAAATTCATATAGCATTACATGTCGCAAATGCACCTTTTCGTTCTCCATTTTTAATAATTTCTCTTATGCACAAATGGACTTATCTGAACAATGCCTGATGCTAAAGTGACATAAGACACTGTCACCTATCCGGTGCAAGCAATATTACCAAACGAAAACAATAGAACTCCGTCATGCAATAACTTAATGCCATCTATGAAAATCGGGCACGAACTTATGCATTATAATATTAAATGAATATTTTGATGAAGAAAATTTTATGAAGAAAATGTTTAGAAATTATATTGTTAATTAATAATCTAATTAATATAGAACATTTGATTCATCACGTAAGAGATCGATGAGCATTCACCAATTATCTCTTTCAAACAAGTTTAGACAAAATATATATTTTTCTGTAATAATATCGATTTCCTTTTGTTTTACGATCAATCGGATCGCCATATTGCCTCCTTTGAGTTTGATTTTGCGAAGTCTTCCTTCTACCACTCGCTGGATCCAGCCGAGAAACAGGGAAGTGAGAAACGGCAATCGATAAGCGATCTACTCCTGTGCTGGAATTGCACGTAACGTCTTCGTACCGTAACGTATGGTTAAGCGTCGCTAAAAGTGCAACTTCCCCTTTTCGAGAGCTAGACATTTCCAGTCCTGCCTTTTCCCATTTCTGCGCGAGCTTCCTCTCCTTTTCTCGAATATCGCGTTCAAGATTGAATCACGCATCGCTGCCTTCGACATTGCGCGTTTCTATTGTAGAATCATTTCTATCCCTCTCTGTTTGATCAATATTATAACGTTTATATGCTATTATAAGTATTCCATCATATGTAATTTTTTTAAGTATAAATGTATTATGTAATTATTGTATAGATGAGATGGGATAAATGATGAAAACCAGTCTTATGCTTTTTTAATTAAATTATTAATTATAATATAGTTTAATTTAATAACAGATGTAAATTTTGTATTTTCATGTATTTCTCGAGATGAATATTTCATATGGTGCAACATTTATTTTATTATATGAAGCAATAGTTAATAATCTAACTATGCTATCGATATAAAATATGATTGATTGTGACATGTAGAATAAAATTGATTTACTGATATAATCGTTGCATTATATATATGAACAATTTTAATAAATCTACGTCTACAATAATAAAACTAGAATGAAATCAGATAAAATATCACAATTTTATACATGATTGATTAGTACAAGTCGTAATGTTTTGTTGCTGATTTCAATTCAACAGAAGTTTACTCGAAATTTTATCGGAAAATTCAATTATTTAGCGTGATGTGTTAACTATATTATCGTTGAGATAACGTCTAACTGTGATTAATATTTGATTGCATATTTCCGGCCAGAAAATGTTATCGTACATATCCAGATGCTTGTATATATTGGCTAGCATCATATTAACCGACTCCAAAATTGAGATGTCTATAAGTAAAATTTTCAGAATGTCCATTACCGTTTAATCATATCAACGAAATACGATTCTCGCGATAACAGTCATACCATCAAATCTGCAGCTATTCAAAAAGCATCATCCCTCTCAGAATAAAAAATCTTCGTTTCACAAAGTGACATTATTGTCAGTCAAAAATCTATCCTCATGTCAATTGAAGGATAAAAATCGTCAATTTTATTTCTTCGCATTTGCTGTTTGATTAATATACTTAATTCTGATCTACAGGTTTTAGCCGGCAACAGCGACACCTCCACCGTTGTATCGCATAATCTAGTTCCACCTATCTTTGCCAGTCAAATCCGGATCCTACCGCATTCCGAGCATAAACGTACAGTCTGCCTTCGCATCGAGCTCAAAGGATGCCGGGATATGAGTAAGTATTTTATATACGCACGAGAAAATATCCAATTCACCATTAATTCTCCAATTTTCAAGTTCAGTTCTTTTCGAGAAGCAAAATACAAGGAACCTTTTACCTTTTCAACTTATTGTTATAAAGAATAAGAAACCACTTTTAACCATCTATTAATACATAATATATAAGATAATTTTAATCTATATAAATAAACAACTTGGTAAAATAAACAAAATAATGTTAAAAGTGATTATCTGTATTATTAATAAATATGTAATATACTTTTATAATGAGAGCGCAATATAATTGTAGCAATGATCAGCACTAATGATGACAATTGTTGATAATATTATGTTCATCAAAAATACTTTTATGCGAATAAACAAATATTTCCATTATCTATCACACCCCGTCAGACAAATTTTTGCACGCGAAGTGATTGCTATGCATAGCGAATTTCATCATTTGGATATTGCATAACCAAGTTATCATTAAAAATTACGTAATTGAGATAATTCACATCGGATATTATTATATTACTAACACGTGGATATTAAACTCATCTTTGTGTTACTAATTAATTAATAAGCATAACAAACAAGATAAAAACAACATTAATTTGCAAGTATGATTTTCGTTTGAATGTAAGTATTATGATAGGTCACATGTTTCATTCCGAATCCGTCCTTTAAAACAGCATTAAAATCAATTAATTAGAGGTATCGAAATTTCTTTTTCGTGATATTGATTGGTTATATCGATATATTGTACGTTATTTTGTATTGAGATCATTGAACGCAATTGCTGAACTTTTAAAATTGTAAATGGATATTTAAGATATCGGAATATATGCAATTGTGTAGCACATAATTGCATAAGAATATACCATATTATTTCTATTTTTATTTAACAATAATTAAAATATATATTAATAAAACATATCGATTGTATTATCAATAAAATAATTCTTTATTTAATTTCTATATATAATATAGTGTGATAGTAAATTAAAATGAAAGACATACTGAGAAATTTCTTGTAACTTCTTCCAATATTTTCATCTCGTCTGAAATTTTTCTTTAATTTCCTCAGTTTTTACCTCAGACTTCCAACATTTCAAATAACATTTGGAACATGCTAACATTTTAATTTCTTTTCTCCCTGAGCTTTTAGCTTTGATCTAACAAAGTAACGAATGTTAAGTATTCGTGATGCATACGACACTCATTCCCATAATTTATATACAAGTGCGTGTGTTATGTGTAACAAACATGCTGTGCGCTACCACAATGCTATTTACATAAATTTGCATACAGTTTCTTTTCTCGTTCGTGTTACTTTACCTGGCTCCTAAAAAAATTCAAGACATAATTTTATATAAATTCTACAAATTTTACACAATTCTATGAGTGCGCGAAGCTTAAATGAAAGCAATACATATATTATAGATTAATAAACAGTCGTTTCCTTTAATGGAATTATATAATATTATATAATATTTAATAGAAAATTATATAATATTTAATAATAAACATTTACATATTTAATAATAAAAATTTGTTTTTTATATTTAAATGTACATAATATATTCGTAATATTTATTTATTCAATTATTCGCGTATGTGAATATGTATCTTTTTGTTCTACATTTTCCTATTATTTCAAAATGATGATGTAACACAAAGATGCTCGTTGAAAAATCCTCATTATCTGCAGAAGCAGTCTGGTTTCAAGTAAAAAATTAAGTATTATCGGAATATGTTACGTTAAGAAAAGAAACCGTGCAAATCCAACCGGTAATATTATAGAAGGGAAAACAGAAAACGCATAAGAAATCATTAAATTAATAATAAAAGAGCTTCACTTCTTTATTCTGTTTAATGTAAAAGTGGTTATTTTTATTTTTCAAAATTATATAAAGAATGACATGAATAAAAGAACATTCAAGACGAAGTTTAAATCTTTTAAATTAATTAGTAACGATGAAAATATAACGATATGAATATTTAAAAAAAGAGATTATAATCATTTTTAAAAAATGTATAACGGAAAGTTCATCATGTCATATATTTTATAATAAAGATTTTATATATTAAAATTATATTATATATATAAAACTTTATTGGGGATATAGCTCTATTTGTAACATATTTTTTCGTTATCGCTTTCGATTGTATCATTTAAAATGAGTAAATATAACCAGCAAACATCAATATATTGTTATCTCAAGAGCCGAATAATCCCAATAATTTCCACACAATCTTTGCATCTTTATTATCAATATCTATGGCCAGGAGAGGGATATTTGCATAAATCATTTTTCTGGGTCGCCAATATCCAACAACAGCAAGATTGTACACACGTTCGTATGGCATATGTATGCAGCTAGCGCTGTAAAACGGCGACATGAGAGCTTTCGCGCTATAAGAAGTATTCGGAGCGTGTGAGATCGAGTCCGACTGGGCGGGTATGGCGGATTTATGGCGGCCGTGCACGGCATCTGGTTAAAACAACGTTGAAGCCCTACCCGAAGCCAGTGAACACGAACAATTACTCCCGAATCGCGGGCAATAGGGCCTACTCGGTCAACGTAATACAGAATCCATGACAGAATCCTTCTGATATTGACATTCGCCATCTGACAGAATACAAGTGTGCTAAATCTCAGCTCGTAGAGCGCGATTGAAACGGTATTATTTATTACACGTATGATGTTGCTAAGACGATTATTCGAGCAAGTTTTATCCAGTGTATAAAGAATTATATGTCGCGAGCTGACATAGATGTATATAAAACTCACAATGTGCGATTTTAACTTTGACTATAGATTAAAAAAGAAAAGCTTTTCGCGAAATAAGTTACAGAAACGCCAATAAATTACGAAACCACATTCTTTTAAAATTACATTTCCAAATGGATTCTATTTTAATAAAGTTTTATTTCAATGTTTTTATATATATGTTATGTTGAGAAAATATGTTAGAAATTTGTTATAAATGATATCTTTTGCTTGTAAAAAATTTGTTATTAAAATTAAGATTGCAAATAGCATATTTTGTGTATCAACCGTATATTCAAAATATGAAGATAAGTTATTTCAAGTTTATAACCTTCTCATCTCTCTGTCTCTTTGTAGCAGATCAAAGTCAGTCTAGAAATAATAATCTATAAAAATTAGTTAATCGTTGGTATCTCCTTATTGTGCATGCAAAAAATTATATTAACGCGATACTTGTTAGGAATTGCACTTTGCTGGGAAATTGCTCTAACGATCCCAATGAAAATTCACAATAATTTCGCGGACGAGAAGAAGATTGTCAGCGCAGATTAGATTGACTGATTGCCAGATTACAGAGTAGGGCTCCCTGTAAGAGCAATGTTTCTGACGCGCGCTGAAATACGGCGTCCTTTAATTCGTACCTTCAAAAATGGCAGGAATATCAGCGACACATCGATGAAATGTTCACCAGTTTACACGAACGATCCTCGAGCACGTGAAAAGTGCACGCCAAGAGAGGTGACTTTGTTGCTTAAATTGCGGATTAATTTGACTCGCCGTTTACTCCCTTATCGTTAACCTATCAATGTCACTGCTGCAACTGTGCAATTTTCGACGTCTCTATGCTCCTATAATACATTTCATATAACAAATATCATATATTTTTTAACGAATCGTGAACTAAAGCATTATATTACGTCTTTTCTGGCATTTGGCTTATATATGACTCTTGGAAAAATAGATCTTTTCTTAGGAACGCGCAAGAGTATCTTGAAAGGATCGAGCATTATATTCGAGAATGGGGTCGAGCTTTCGTTTTCGTATGATCGTACAATCGTAGAATTCCTAGTATACTTCTTGTACGATATAGATGCCAGTTGCAGAATAGCTGCATGGCGACGAGGCATCACGTTGTTCTAAGTAAAATTATTACCTCGGCGTCATCCACGTGACACGGAATCAGGCGAAGGTACGTTGACCAAAACTGGCTTGACCACATCGCGTGACAACGACGGCCGGCCGCACACCGTATATATACCGTGAAATATTAAGAGTAGTTAAGCGATTTTGAACACGACATGGCAAAGTGGGCGCACCGCGCCATTTTTGCGGTCCGTTATTAATTTCCTCGCTACGAAAATCCAACCGTCCGTTCCCTACGGACGGCCACCAGTCGCCCGCGCCCCCTCTCCCCCTCCCCGCCGACCAAGTCGTTTTAATTAATTTTAATTGATTAATTTTAACTAAGCTCCTTCCGCTACAGCACTTCACGGTACGTTATTAAGCAACGACACTTCATTTTCGAAGTGTGTCCGGAAACTAGAGCAAAGCGCTAAATATGATAAATTTTAATAAAATATGACATGAGAAATAATTTTTCTTTAATTATCATGATAATAATTAATGTAATAATGAATTTACATGAAGAAGGCTATCACATTTTTTTTTATCAAAAACAGAATTTACATAACTGTATCTATCGAGATCTCAGTAAAAACTTCATATTGTAACATGTACTCCCATACATGTATACAGTAGAGTCTTTATGCTTTATATACTTTTATTTGAAAGTTCCAAGACAACGCGCAATCATTTAGCGTAGGAAAGAAAAAGAACATCAACGAGAGACAAAACACAGCTAATAGCACACTACAAAGTCAGGTGTAACGTAAAAGTTTGAGAGACGAGTGTGTTTTAAAAGAAAACTACTGTCGCGTATAGTGATAGTCACGCGAAAAGTTTTCTCTGTTTTAGGTGGCATCGTAAGCTACACCACACCAGATACTTCCATACCGGATCTCATTGATATTTCGTACGATGGTAAGAAGCAGGACAATTTGTTGACCGATGGCTTAGGCTGTTTAGTCGATGGCGAGGTCGGCGCGGATAATTATAAGCAGGACCTGGGAAATGGAAAAGGTAATCGATGGATGGATACACATGTGGAAATGCTAAAAATTGAAGATATCCTTTAATAATTATTTATTACGATCTTGTTTCGGACAAAATTTATTTCCTATCGAAAAAGTCCACGATTTTTGCATTTTATGATTATCTGAAATTATTTAAAAAAATACATTAAAAATAATATTTCGTTCGCATTCAATATGTTTTATTGAAAGCTTTTTTAATGTATTTTAATTACTTTTTGGAACAGTTTATGGCGTGAATTCGAAGTGAGAAGTTTGTCTTTCGTGATAAACTTTCTTACGTTTTGCTGTCAATAAGGATAACTTCAAGAAATTATTGCCACGTATAAAGTTTTGTAACAATTATATTTGTTTACTGTCATAGAGAATTACAGCAAATTTACAGTTTATTGCGTTTTCTATGAACGGTCTTTCTTTATTGACTGCAGGCACGGGTTGGGTTGCTTGGCTTCGTGACGCCTTCGAGAAAAACTACGTGGAACTTATCTTCGAGTTTGAGACAACGTTGATTTTCGAAGCGGTACACATCTATACTAATAATTATTTCTCAATGGATGTGCAGGTAATCTTTAATTTATTTTTTACTTAATGTGTTTTTTACTCATGTACTTTCATAAACTCTTCTTTCAAAGAAGAAGAAATTAAACCATAATTTGTTTAAAAATATTTTTAAAAGATAATTTAATTATATATATAATATTATGTGTATAATATTTTACAAAATAATCATTAATTTTGCAACAATACGCATTTTCACTGCTATTTGAAATTTAAAAATTTGACATCTATTTTTGAAAATATCTGCATCTTTTTAAATTATGTATATAAATTAAACAAAACTGTGATGCAAAATTGATGAGAAAATTAATGAGATGTTTCAAGATAAGATAAGATAAGATTTGACGAATGTATTTTTATTTAAATTTTGATTAATTTCATTGAAAGAATTTATAAATAATGATTGTGGCTTTTTCATGAATGGTAAATGAAGTTATCATTAATTCTGTATCAATGAAAATGTCAATTAAAATGATGTTAATTAGATATTTTCAAAAATAAAATAAAATATTTATGACAAGAGAAATATATTACTTTTCAATATTATAGATGCTATTTATAAATAATAGTTTGCAACGTACATCATAAATGACATGATTAACGATTAATCGATTACATAGCGACAGTTATAATATTTCTTTAACGTCAATGATCTCACACAGCCTGTGATATAAAGGAATTTATCTATACTTGTATCAAAATGCACTGACCACAAACTGTCATTAAAAATGAATATAATTGCACAATAAAAAGAAGCTTCAACATATCTTCATTTTTTAAAAATATGTTAAATATTATAATACATATGTTCTCTTTTTTCTTTATATTTTTTTATTTTTGTCGCGAGAAAGAAGATTTCAAAATAAGACATTTAATATTTTTCATATAGAACAGTTTACTGTCTTTTATAACAGGTCTCACTAACTTGATATATTTTTATTTCTCTAAAATATGATATTTCGTACATACTTTTTTGTAAAATAAAAAATTAAAATCCCTTCTTTATCTCGAGATCTCTCTTTAGCTATTCTTGAAAAACAGTACATATATATTTCAATGTGAGATTGGTTTGCACAACAGGTATTTTCGAAGGCAGCTATATGGTTCAGTACCGATGGTGAGACCTACGAAGACGAGCCCTTGTTGTATTCTTATATACCGGACTTAGTGCTCGAAAATGCCCGAAATGTTTCAATCGGTCTTCACGAACGACAGGGAAGTCTTCTCAAACTGCATCTGTACTTTGCTGCACGGTGGATCATAATCAGCGAAGTGACGTTCGACGCAAGTAAGCTTCCTCTGTCTCTGTAACATTTTACGAAACAGCGACAGACAATAAGATTTTTTAATTTTTATATTACTCTCTTTTCGTGTGCCATTGTAAGAAATAGTATGTCATTCTTCTTCTAGATTTCTCGCGAATTTTCTTGGACACCTTATACATTATTTGACCTGATTTAAATATGATCTGATAATAAAAAAAACTTATATATATAAATGAGCGCATATTGAATTCACAGATCACGATATTTTAGAAAATCTTGTAATGAACGAAGTTATAATGCTCGCTAAATTATCTCGTCCTTCTCTTTTAGTAACCATCAACTTAATCTCGATTTATCGGTTATAATTTTGTCTTGAATGTTCGCGGACGTATTTTTCCAATTTTATCGCACTAATGACCATTTGAATTAACGATGTCGATATGGAACACGCGTACAATAATCCGATTTAAATCTCTAGACGGATGCGCACGAGACGTGAAATATTTTTCGATTAGATACATGTAGATATAGTAAGAAAAAAAATTGTTATTCTTTTTCATTTTTAAAATAATAACAAAGATTACATAAAATTACGTTTATTCCACATGAATATAATAATATTTCGCGTGCTCTATTTGTCCCTTTAAAATAAAATAATCTTTAATTTTTTTTTTATAATTATTATGGTGATATTAATTGAGCTTTCTTTTAACACAAAATTTGAGGCAAAAATTAATATTACTTCTATTATTCTAACAATTTTAATAATCCACATTTAAAAACATTTGTATTTCATATGAATCCCTTTGTAAATCTTATAAAATTTGCCATAAATTTTAATTAGCTACAGCTATTTTCCGCTTTCAGCAAATCCCTATGAAAACACTACGGAAGAAGCGGCGTCCGAGTTCAGCAACCGGGAAATTCCAGTCAACCCCGAAGTGGATCTTAACTTACAAACGAGTAAGTAACTTACCAAGAGTGGCATTTAATTCGTATCAATCTCGTTCTAATTAAGCACCGGGTACTAGAAACTTTTCATTTCTCGTACCGCATGCTTCTAAGTAGACATCTATAAATTTACGAGAGTACTTCATACATTTAATATCTTACGTTTTATTTGTACACCACACAATCTCGAACGTTTCTCACGTGGCTAATAATGCTTTACTTACTAATGCGCGTTTATTTGTGTAATATAATATTAATATTAATATGTACAATCAAATTCTAAGGTTTATTTATTGCCTATTTATAACAAAATTAATTTCATATTTAATTATTGAGTAAATATGTACGCCAATATATGTATTACAAGTAAAATCAATTATTTATCAATTATTAAATTACTACTTACATTAACTATGACATTTCTATCTGTTTTATTATTGATCTTGTATATTATATATTGTACATATAAATATATTGTATTTAACACTTGGAACTTATATATAAGCAGTATTTGAATGTTTAAATCCTAATTAATGCGTAAATAGCATATAGAAGATAAGTTTTGATGTAATAATTTAACAATATTTCACACACTCACTTATGTGTGTGTATGTTTATTTTAAAATGAAAAATATAATTTATTTTTTTTTAATATTATTATTTTCGATAATTATTTTCTTTCACTAACATTCCTGATAATTAAATTTATTAGTACATTTCCTGATAATTTAATTTATTAGTTCATATATTTACGTAAATTTTACCATAATGTAATACATTTTCCTGATAATTTAATTTATTAGTTCAAATATTTACGTAAATTTTACCTTAATGTTCAAGCATTATATATCTCACACATACATAATAGATTTAAATGATTAGGATCATATGTAAAATTAAATAAAAATTTTTTCAAATATGCAACACACGTATTCAGTCCACTTTGAGACTATACAACATTTATTCAGCTAGCTTTGTAGGCTAAACAATGCCGTTGTCAGGAAAAAGATGCGATTAAGTAAGGTCATTGTCCGACGAATAAAAGAGAAAGAAATGCAACTACACTTTATAATTTACGTAGCAACTCCCTCGTAACGTAAACAATTAGTCGGGTTAAGAGGTAGTGTTTGAGAAAAGAAGAGAAAAGTGAGGTTGACTCTGGCATAATTACGTATATCTTATAATTTGTGTCAACAACAATCCTACGCTACATTTTCTAGGCCGTAAAACAAATTAAAAATATGTAATTTCCGCTTAAATCATCGAATGTATTATAATGAGAAAAATTGCGCATCCAGATGAAAAATTAAAAGCCGTCGTATAGAGATCAATAAAAATAGAAGTAGGTATATCGATAAGAATATTATATATGCAAGCGGTAAATTCTGATATATCAAAGTATTTTTAGTTGGAACACATACACGTTTCTCTATACATTCACATACATAGTTTTAATCTAAGCCACAGTTTTCTGATACGGGGAACAAACAATTACATTAGCTTTTTCATCCGCGCAATGTGCTCCAAAACGTGTGATAAAAGTGCACAGAATGCACGTCGAGACTATATTAGAGAGGGAAAAAATAAATAAAACATAATAATTTGTCGCCCGAATAGATGGAGAAGCGTGCATAAATACGGGAAAGGAAATTACGTTACGAAAGGAGGACGAGAAATGAGAATAAAAAAATGGGAAAAATTTATAGTCACGGTGACGGGGGCGACGAAGATGCAGATAACAGAAAGTACAGCGGATAAATAAAGACGTGAGAGGAAGAATACTCGACTCGCGGCATAATTACGGTTCTCTGATATACTCTACCGCCTAACGAATCCTATCCTCCTATAAACCCCAACGAAAAAATAGACCGAGCATTTTCCCGGCTTACCATTATAAATAAAGGAAACGCGAACGGTCCTCAAATAAAACAGCAGCGAAATCGTCCACCGCGCAAATGCAGCATGCATGCTGAAAAAGATGGCACAAGGGAAGGGCGACAAGGAGTAAAAAAAACGAAGTAACTAAAAACAACATGTAAACCGAGCGTCCGCTTTACGGTGGTCTGAATTTAAAAGGATGCGGCAGTGTGGTTGCCGCCCCTGCTAATATATATATGTATATAATTCTTGCATGTAATTTTTCATGTAATTCACGAGTGGAGAAGTTAAAGAAAGAACAACGCTTTCATAATTCAAGCGCCGATATCCGCGCGATCGATTATGCGGATTAGCCAACATCTGATTCGACAGAGCGCAAGGGAGGATTAGAGTCATAAAAAGACGAGGGAAATAAGGCCGCTGAGAAAGAGAGAGAAAGAGAGAAAAAAAAGAAAAAAAAATTGACAGAGCAATGGACTCAATAATTACATATCTCTGGGATGGATTATGCAAACGTCAAACCTTATTCTTTTCATTCTCTCTTGATTATTGATATTTTCTGCAATCGAGTGCAAATAAAAATGTAAATAGAAGTAAAGTAATAATTATTCAGTCGAAGAAATAATAAAGAGAGATATAAATGCATATATTATGAAAGTCTTTTGTTTATTATCGTATTTGAAATATCGACAATACGAGCATTCATATATCACGGATGTTAACAGTAAAATAATAAAATAAATTAACTAAATTGACGGCTCATTTATAAAATATATAAATTTAACTAAATAATTAGGCAATATCGAGCCAATGCAAAAGTAAATGAAGCAATAAAAAACTACTTCCATTATCCACATTTTATTGAAGATCAATCATACGTTTCGGACTCCTTTCGAGCCTTCTTCAGTGAAATAAAGTCAAACAGTTCGACATTACGCGATCATCTCAACCGTCCGACTCTTCTAACGGTACAAGACGCAAGGAAAGATCGGGCACAAAAAACGCGACGGAGACGGGCACGAACATCTCGCTATGTCCAACGACTCTTAACCGACGAAAGTAAAATAATATTAAAAGTGATTATTATAGTAATATTAATTACACATCTTTTAATGTATTTATAAAATTAAATATCAAGAAGATGATTCGGTTTTCTGAATTTTCATTACACAAAAGAAGGAAATATATTTTACAACCAAGTTTTTCCTCTTGTACTTTATTTTAATAACAAACTAAAAAGTTTCGTAAAATGGGTAAGTACTTGCTAAAAGCGTACGCTCCAGATATGGGTTAAACAAGGTAAATACTAGAAAAAGAAGGAAAATAAAATCGATTCACATACAACAACGTTAAAATAATGTTTGAAAATCCTGTCATCCAATACATATGAGCGATACATCCGCTAAATATGTTTCAATGCGCGGACGCAAAGAAAGGAATGATAAGCAACGATAAGCTGCCTTTGCTCGATTGAAAAAATAAGCCATAGATACGTGTAGGTAATCGATGTACTATGTTGAAAAAAAAATGGGGAATCAGAAATTGTATAATAAAAGAGGAAAAAAGTAGGCAAATATCAATAACAACAGGCTCCAATGCTATTCATGTGCATAATCGCGAACACAGTTTTATCCTCTAATACTATTATCCATTGTCCCCTCAAAAACAAAGAACCGTAAAAAGAATGAAAAAAAGGAGAAAAGCGAGAAACGAACGAAGGGGATATGCATGAGCATAAGAATGGGAATTAAAAGCGTTTCCGCGCTTCTCGGGCAATTTTCTTTTTCTGTACAATTACACGATGGAGAGAGGAAACGTTCATTTAAAATCCAGATTTTTCTTGCCCATGTTGGTGCTCGTGTGACGAACCTTTCTCAAATTAAGTAAAATTGGCGTTACAACAATGATTCATCACGGTTTTCCATCTGGCCTATTTTGCGCTTAATCGAGGAAAAGTGCCATTTTAATTATCACGCAAGTGCCCGTTCGAGAAACTTATTTATTTCCACTACAGAAAAAAGCACAATCGTACCGCTTTTAGTGCACGACAAAAGATTTTGTTAGTTTTTGCAATGACAATTGTTAAAAAAAAGTTCAGCTTCATTTATACACTGAAAAAGAGGGTCAACTATAATTGCATAATAAAAAAATTATTAGTTGAGACTTTTATCTATTAGTAATAACTTTATGCGTTATTAATAGTAATAATAATTTTAAATATAGTTGCCGCTAAAATTAATTAAAATTTATGATAATTATAATTCTTTTTTTAATCAGTGCAATTAGTTAAATGTTTCTTTCGGTTGAAATAATTGTTTTCGATTATTGTTGAAAAGAAGTGGGATCTAAAAAAGAGAAGTGTATGATAAAAAAAAATAAAAAATGTATCTTATTATATTATATTCAATTCAACAATGATGTCCCGCGTATCCCTATAAATTCGTATAGTTACAGCACCAGGAGATGGTCAAGAATATTTGGAGGTACTGATAGGTGTTCTCACTGCCATTATATTGTTGCTGTTATTGGTCTTCTTCATTATCCTATTTCTAAATCGACGACAAAAACTGCAGAGTTCCCCGACAGTATTGAAGAATCCATTTGGCTTCGCCATAAATATGAAGGTAAAACAAATTACTCCCGCTTAATATCCCGAGAGACGAGTAATAACTGAAATTTACATTTTACAGGGTCTACTTTTAAACTTAACGCCTGGTGGGATGCTGACCGCGGAAACCGCCAATCATGTCTCACCTGACGTGCCAGAAGACGTGAGCATGCACGAGTCACTTACGATGGAACAATTTAATTCGCCGCTCGTCAGTCCGCAATATAAATCTACATATGCGATCGTAGCGAATTCCGGTGAATATGCATTATTATTATCAGCTTATATATATCGTACATTGAGATAAACGAAAAATAGAAAAATAGCAATGATAAATTGATCACGATAAATGAAAACTGATGAGGTGGTACTTTTTTTTTAGAATCTTCGAAAGATTTCGGAAACATAGAAATACCGGAGGAGAATGTGCGACTGGACGCAAGACCAGAATCTGCGGTCGGTCCATCTAGCTGTTCCTCGTCACCGACTAACTCGCCGGCTCGTCATTCCCAACATTACAGGACCCTACAAAGTTATAGCAGTCCAACTAGGAAACTCAATATCGCGGTTACGCCCAATCACCAAAGGGACGTCGATCACGTTCACTCAAAACGTTGGCACACAGCGCCAAAGGAGAAGCACAAGGTACACATTTAGCTGCGTATTTACCATCATATGCATACAATTTAACAGTGCATTTGACTGATTGCGCGAAGGCAAAAGAAAAATACGTTGCATCCGAAAGTCAAACTGCTACTTGAAACTCTCTTGATTTACCGATGCCAGACTGTAATTTAAGTCGGTTTGTTTATCTTGTCGCAATAAATTTATTTTACGTAGAAATGATGGGGATATGAAGCGGATGTGAGACGACAAAATTATGATGTTCGATAATTAAACATACGTCTCATTTATAGATACCAGCACCAGTCGTCAGTTGGAATATTGCGCCCAGTATGAACAAACCGTATAAGTGCAAGGAAATTGAGCCAACCAATATACCACGTCAGTGCCTACGAACGACAGAGAAACTTGGCTCGAGAAACATAGGAGAGGTATAAAATGATGTGCAAATTGCGTTAAGTAATAAAAGTTATTCGAGATATCATTATTTTCTATTTTCCTATCTATCATGCACTGAGGAATTAAAAATTTTTTTCAATGTACTGTATTATAATCAAAATTAATTTAATTTACGAAAAAACTAAAGAAAAACCTAATGCATTAATCATATATTTGAAATGCAACACGTACAAACGTGCCCGCAGATATTTCTGACAGATATGTTGTGACAGTTTCTGAATTTACTTACACTTAATGGCAATTGCGGGCACGGTGGCGAAATTCAATTTACATATTTATCTAAACAACGTAATTTATCTAAACATACACTCATATAGCATATACTCTACTGCAATGCTACTATATTTGTTTCCTCCTGGTAATTTCAAGCATGTAAGACATGTAAAGTAATTAATAAATTTTTATTTAAATATTTGTTAATGATGTGCAATTTGATTGACATTATTGAGATGAAGAATCACATGTACACGATATTTTTTATATGTCAAACTAAAAATATTGTTTGCAGGCTGTAATATGCGAGGCTGTCGGCCTAGATGAAGTTGTATCTGACGCCCCCAGATTAGTCGTTGCTCGCGTACCCCTGTGCGCCAACGATATTCGAATAAACACGGCCGATCAAATGAGAGAAGTGCGATTTCTGTCGTGTTTAGCCGATCCTAATGTGGCACGTATATTAGGAGTGTGCTCTGTCGAACCAGTGCCGTGGACGATTATCGAATATACGGAACTCGGTGATCTGGCTCATTATCTTCAGTACAGTGTACCACTCACGGGAACGCTCAGGCCAAACTGCAATTTAAAAACCCTTAGGTAAATTTGTGGAATAAAGATTGTTATTTGACTGTCGAAAATTCAAGCCTTTTCGCATTTACTTTTCTCAATTAAAAAATATAAATTATGCATATAAATATAAATATACATACATGAAAATATTGACAAATTGTTATTATTTCTAGTCAAAGCTGTCTGCTGTACATGGGAACACAGATAGCATCAGGCATGAGATTTCTTGAATCGAAGAATCTGGTGCACAAAGATTTGGCGGCTAGGAATTGTTTGGTAGGTCGCTCTTATACTGTCAAAGTGACCGACATTGCCATGTGCAGCGATCTTTATAAGAAAGATTACAGCGATATAGGTGGCAGACCCCCCGCACCAATTAGATGGTTACCTTGGGAAAGCATTCTACTAGTAAGACTTTTATCTTTTATTTATTCATGATTATTCAAATCAAGTTGCAATGTATTTAAATTATAATTTGTCAATTATATAAAAAATACCCCACAATTCGCAATTTTAACTTTAATTACAGATTCTCTAATCAATTTACAATCGATATAGTGGAAATATCAAAAGAGGCGTTGTAAATTTTTAGTTTGTAACTAAATTTTAAATAAACAGTTATTAAAGGAAATTTTTAATTTGAAATAGAGTATTGCGCAAGCAGCGACAATATAATATTTAAATTTCAGGATAGGTATACATGTTCGAGTAGTGTATGGTCTTTTGCGGTGACACTTTGGGAGGTGATGAGTCTTGCTAGGGAGAAGCCCTTTCAGCATCTGTCAAATGATCAAGTTATTCAAAACGCTGAACATATGTATTACGGAGGAGAGCTACAGGTAAATGTCTCGATAATTACTTTAGGACTAACGATTTCTCAGAATTTAATTAATTCTTACTTGAAGATTTAATTTTAGCAAATAACAAATCAGCCAAGTTTTACGCTAACAAATTTCACATATTGCTTTTAGTTGCTAAGAATATCAATATATTATAAAATTTAATATGATACAATTAAAGTTGTTCTTTGCAAGAATCGCGAATAAAAATTTAATGAAATTTTTTCCCCTTCTTGTTTATCTTCAAATATTTGTATTTCAGGTACTTCTACCAAAACCAACAATGTGCCCGGAAGAAGTTTATCGGATGATGTGTTCATGTTGGAGAAGAGACGAAACATCGCGACCAAACTTCAAGGACATCTACACGTTCCTGAAGAACATAATAGCGGACTATCGACCCGGTGCATAAATAATCTCGGTTAACTGTGATACGGAATGAACAAATAATCTCTGTGAATATGAACGACAGCACACATCGTCGGGAATATTTCAAGCAGGACGGATTATACGAGATCATTATACTCGCCGGGCATGACGCCTCGCGAATCAGATTCTCCAGAAATGTACAATCGTTAGTTTTAGACGTACGTATATCGAAGATGTTGGACTTCGTGTCTCTTTTCTCTCGCAGAAAATTTGACAAACGCAGAAAATTTCCGCTCCGAACGCAAAACTCAGCGGTGATAAAGATTACCACTTGAAGATTTTATCGCTCATAATCTGTTATCCAGACGAAAGTAACGATAACAGATATCGTAATATCGAAACGAATGCCAAAGCAGAAAGCACACGAGGAGAAATGTGTAATTATCGTGCAAGTATTAGATTTATTTTCTTCAAATATTCAAAACGAACATTTTTGTGATGTTCTTCGACAGTCGCGTCACTTTTGTCTGGACATCTAATAAATTTCATTTTCTAGTCACTATGAATCTTTAATTCTCACGAAAGTGCTATCGTGTACAGTATTCTAACATTAATAATGTGTAATGTACGCCACTATGCTCAGTACTGATAAAGTCTATCCATTTGTACATATAAAGTTTAAGTCTTAACGCTAGGTAAATGGGAAATTTTTACGGCAGTTAACATATGTCACGACAGCTTTCTTTTCTCTTTTATTTGCCTCATTTTATTTATTCTGTCATTTAATTCCTCCGATAAATTTCACAATACGCAAGAATGGCTCTAATGTAATTATTTTTCGCTTTAAAGTTCGTGAATACGATGAGTTAATGGCTCGAATGTAAAAAATATCCGTAAAAATAGGCACGAGCAATATTTGAAAAAAATTTAGGTGTTTAGTAGATTAAATACAAACGTAAGATACACTGTGGCATGATATAATTTTGTTAGCTTACCATTCTATGCCCTAAAAATTTCAGCTTAGTCGACAATTGTACATTTAATAGTAAGTACTTATTATTCTATTATTCCGTTTAAATTTAATGTACTATGTTAAATGGTGTAGATTTGAAGTATGTTCTTCCTAAGAACGCGTAATATGAATACATATCTTTGCTCGTTTTTATTTAAAAACAAAGAAATGCTAAGGACATTTAGTGACAAGTATCATGCAAAAAATTAATAAAAATTTAAACAAAAAAAATGCCATATATTTGTTGAAATTTCAAATTACAAATACGCTATTTATAACTACGATATGCTTAGGCGTATCAAGGATAGCAATACAAAATAAAAATGTTAGCATAGAGAAAAAATTAGATTTACAATTATTTTTCTTGCTGATGAAGAATTTATTTATTTGATTTTATAATACTTATTACAACTACTTTTGTTATTTTTTATATTATATTTGCGATTAATTTGTATTTTAATTATCATTTGAAAATATGAATGAATCGATAAATAATGAATTGCAGCTTGTTATTTGTATGAATAAAAAAAATTAATTAAAGCGAAATTTAGAAACGTTTACGCACATTCGCAAATTTGCAGGTATAAATATTTATTGCTTTCCGAATGATATTGAGAACTATTCGGGATAATTTTTACCATTATGATTGATTTCGATTTAGTAAGGATTATATAAAGAAACAAAATCAATCTCGATGAATGATAAACTTATAGAATGCTTGTTTTCAATCAGTTTTTTAAATAATAAATTAAGTGAATCCATGAAAGGTTTGGTCCTCTGATTAAAAATTCTATTTGGAAAATGCCAATATATAGTCTCCAATGTCATTACAATAATACCAAACATCGTATGATAACAAAACCAGCCAAAGATAAATAAATTTTGTTAAATTTATAAATCTGAATTAATATTACAAAATAATATTTATCTAGCGCACCGAATTTATTTCTTTATCTTTATCTATTTCCTTATTTAGCGTACCGAAATCTATCTTATAAATCTGGATTAATATTACAGAATAATATTTGTCTAGCGCACTGAAAATAATTAACTTGATTTTAATCTGTTTACATCTTTCAATAAATATATCAAGAGGGAAATATCTGTAAGGCAAAAGTCATTGACGTCATATAAGATCAATAAAAAAGGAAGAGATCATATTTCTATTGGGATACTAACCACGTTTAATACTAAATATAAGACATAAAAAAATAGGTCTACATCTATAAATCTATTACATTTTTATTTCAAAATATATTTAATATAACGCGATTAAAGAGAGAACACATGCATCATCAAAATGTATTGACATAATGATAAGAAGATAAGAGAGGAAAATATAATTTAAAAAGATGAACTATAGAGAGAGAAAAAAAATTTAAAACCTGCTTACACACAATTACATGGGGAATGCTGTCTTGCATTAAAATGAACTCTCTAGACTCTGACATAATCGCTTTTACAGACCTTCGACTGTTATCTGTAGTCGACTTATCAATAGTGCAAAAGAATTGCAATGCTGGTACCATACATTTTACGAATAATCGAGTACAACAACCAATAAATTCGAAAATCCTCTAAAGCAGATTTTTTCAATAATTTGTCTACGAGAATATGATTATCATTCAATGAATCATAGAAGCGTGAATCATGTTATTTGACATCGCAAAGATGAAAAAAAGTAGATTATGTATATCACACACAAGAAGAGATATAATGACCGTGTGTGCGTGCCACGTTCTAGCGTACACGTGTGTGTAACGCCGACTGCTTGTGTTTATATAATGGCGTCCTGGGAAAGTGAGCTTCATTGAATCGTCGGCTGTCAGAATCACACGTTAACGCTCCGACATTTTTACTCGCCGGAAGAATGAGATCTTGCACGCTTATATTTGTCGCTCTTGCGACTATCCTTCTGTGCACTAGTAAGTAAAATACTTTTTTTACGCAAAACGATAAATTACGTCACATAATAAACATTTTCACAGTGCATAAACATACTAATATAAATATGTCAAATTTTTTTACATATTTACATACGATTTAAGAAGCAACTGACTTCAATTTGTTTTTTTCATTTTTTAGAGATTACTATTAATTATAATGTTAATCATTTTTTTATATACACATTAATTCAATTTTATTTTACTATATCAAAATTATAGAAGATTTTGCCAACTAATCTAAAAAGATATACGATTCAAATAAAATGTCTTCATTATTTTTTCTTATTTTTATATCATTTTGTTATAAAATTTTTTCCTCTTGATTATATTTTTTATATTTTATTTTAAAAATTAATCTATTTCTTTCGATATATCATATGGCATTAATTTTTTTGTAAATATTTGTATGTCGAGACAAATCAAAATTGAGGAGGAAATATTTGTTTTGTCTACACATATTATATAGGTATGCATATGCATATATATCATAAACACACGGTTTTATTTTTTTACGTTAGAATTTTTTTTCACGTTTCTAACGAGATCTATTTGATATCAGTTAGTGATAGTAGTAATAAAGGTTGTAACTTTGTAAGACTGTGGCAATACTTGATTATCATTGCATGAATTGCAAAGAAATATTTATTTTTAAAACAATTAATTATTTTTAAACATTAATATAATTTTTGATTCTCAGTGTAACGAGAACAAGCCAGAATTGTCAAAACGTAATCTCAATAAAGATGTAAATTTTTTTTCAGAATATATTAATGCATTTGAAATATGTGCTGAAGAAAATTGTTTTACATCTGATGAAAAGCTGACGAAATGCGAGCAAGAAAGTCCACTTTTATGCAAGCAACAGGGTACCACGTGCTGCAGCGTAGGTAAGTTTTCAAGTTTTTGCAGATATTGTTATAGTTATTGTTAAAGATATTAAGAACCGATTATAAAATAGAAAAATATATTATATCACAAAGAGTTACATATCAATCAAATTGATAAATAATTGAAAAAGTGACGAATATGTTTATTATATTTTAAAACATAGTTTACATATATCTATTTATTATAGGCAAATTTTCAATATAACGAAATATCTGTTAAAATTATATACAAACTGGTAATTCTTTCTCAATAATTTCTTTCGCAATAGAAATATCTATATTACATATTTATTTAAATATTTTTTAGTTATTTAATGTAAATATTATTGAATGTATATATTTTTGCGACATACGAAACGTACACATCCAGAAATTTATTTTCACATATAAGTCTCGTACAACTAGTAAATTAATTTATGCGCCACTTTCACATGTCAACTACGTGCAGTTATCCATTTCTATTTAATGACATCTATGATACTTCATTTATAATATAGATTTATCATATAGATTTATATATTTGAATATAGTTGATTTTTTTAATTTTGGCAAATCTGTAGTAACCAATACTTTAATTAGAGCGAATTATTATTCTACTATAATATGTAAAAAACATTCAAATTTCTTTCTCTTGTAACAATGAAATTTGATTCGAAAAGCATTTTCGATACATCATGTTAGGAACGTTTCTCTTTTACTAGCTAAATTCTTTATCATTACAGTTAAATCAAAATTCAGAACCCATTGCCGTCAACATGGTGGAGCATGTATGGATGAATGCGCTCCGAATCTGCAGCGTACCGTGATCAACTGTCCGAACGGTCAAGTCTGTTGTGTTTTGGTTTAAACAATCTAAATGAAATTTTTATAACTAGCGGTTTATATAGCGGTTTATATATATATATATATATATATATATATATATATATATATTGAATAAATTTATTCATAATAGATCAATATATCTTATTGAATGTAAATATTCATACAGCATTTTATTTAAATTTTTTTGAACTTTTCCATAAATCCTTCTCAATAAAATCAAAAAATTTCATTATAATAAATAATTTACTGAAGCATAGTACTAGTTAAAGAATAATTTCTCCCTTATAAAAAGTATCAATCTTAAGAATGAGAATAGTATTTACATCCAATAAGATATAATGATCTATTATAAATGAATTTATTTATTAATAGCTAAAATATAAACTTTGCTAAAACAAAATAGAAATATGTCTCTACATGAACTACTTGTTAAAAAAAATTAATTAATAAGTTATTTAAACTAAAAATCTTCATTTAAAATATAATTATAAATATTAACAATTACTAATAAAATTTATTAATTATTTTTAAAAATTATACTTTTTATAATTAGAAAGATATTACTCTTGGACAATTATGATGCTTCAATAAGTTGTTTATAATAATGAGACTTTTTGATTTTATTGAGGAAGACTTATTGAAAAGTTCAAAAAAATCTAAAACAATGGATCACGAATAGTATCTACATCTAATATAAAGATATATTGATCTATTATAAATAAATTTATTTGTTATATATATATATATATATATATATATATATATATGGTTAAAATAAACTTTACTAACTTATATATATGGCTAAGATAAACTTTACTAACAAAATATGACTCTATATGTACCGTTTATTATAAAAATATCATTTTTATTGTCAATTTTGGCAAGAATTAAAAAATAGATCGACGCTACGTATCGATTTTGATAAGTTTTTCAACCTATATTCTTTTTAAAATAAACGGTAATATGTTCAACATAAAATTTCATTAAAAATTTAAGCTAATAAATATATGTTTTTCATCTAGAATATATAATTATAAATATTAAGATTTATTATTAAAAATCTCTTAAATTTCTATCTAAAAATGTATCATTCAAATTATTCTGATCTATTTTATGTATCTAATTTTTGATGAATAACATCATAATTATTATCTACATGATAATAGCTGATTCATTAAGAATAATATGTAACCATAATTTAATTAAGGAGTTAAACTATATTATATTTCTTACAAACAATCAATCATGTCAAATAAAGTAATGTTAAATTTGTTATTTGATGTAAACTCTATACATTCTATAGATATTCATCTTTAGATATGATTATTTTCGAAAAGATTTAGACAAACTTTATCTTAATTCGGATTGAACTTTGCTTCGATTGCAAATTAGAGTAGAATTCGATGGAATTAAAGAAAATTAAAAGTTGCCATTCTTAATACGAATCTTCTTATATCCCTCAAATAATGATAATTTGAAGGAGAAGTCAGAAAAGAGGAATAGGATAAGAAAATAAGGGAAAGGAGAAAGCAAGCGGGATATACCGTGAAGTTTTATCTGGAAAGAAAAGTTGCCCGGAGCGGAGACGAGCTGAGACGGTTGACAAGGGGTCGGTCAAGGAACAACGTGTACAAGAGAAACGACCTAAAGAAGAAGGACAGAAACGAGTGAGCGAGGGGAATAAAAGAATAAGAAGAAAGGAGGTGTACGAAGCATAAGAGAAGGGTAAGCTTTGTCATGGGCGATGCAACCAGAACGTACAATAATACATATACATATATCTGCACTGATATACAAAATTGTATTAGCGTTTGACGATTAAGAATCTTACGCAGCAAAAAAAAAAGGAGAAAAGTAATATAAAATATATGAAACAGTAGTAATAGCTTTGTTCCATTTTATCCAAGATTGGTATTTTTATGTTTGTTCTTTATGTCGCATTTTTGTGCCAATTAATTTTGAAAAAAATAGATAAGATAATAATAATATATTAAAAGTGAGTGCTACACGAAGAAAATTTTTAATAAGAAATGAATATGTATAAAATCGATTAAAAAAGACGAAGTATAAATTTTGCAAAAAAAAAAAAAAGAAGAAGGCGATAAATCTATACTTTCCATTCCACTTTTCACGATGCAACTAAAATCCTATACTACAAATTATATGAAAAACAGGTGTAAAGCTGAAGTGAATAACATGGTTATTATATAGCAATAAAGAAGACAAGCTGGGAAATGAGATGTGTTAAAAGGTCGCAAGAGAGTCGCTGACATTTCCATTGCACCGCAATATCGCCATTCTCATTTCTGTTTGAAATTTCTCTTTCTATTTCTCTCATAACACACGCAATTGAAAAATATGCGAGGGAAAGAGGAGGAAAGAAGAAAAGCACAAGAGTTGCGTCGCCGGAAGCGATATACGGGCAGATGCCAATATGACGGTACACGCACTCGCACGTACACAAGAGGCGCAAGAGCCGTTTCTGTTGACCCCCCGGGGGGGTAAAAGCGCATAATATTACGTATAGCGTAGAAATAAGAAGAAGCGCATCCCTTCCACGCGCAACTGTAGCGCCTGTAGCGTCAGCGAGAAAGACACCCTTAGGGTCGCTCGGCCGAAGATACGAAACGCGCAGCGACTTGAATGGAGACCGCGATAACGAAACGGCGATAACATATCTTCCGCGCGCGTGCTTTAAGACGCGAAACGGAAAGTACCGATGAAGAACTTTGCAGGTAAATTTTGCAAAACGCGCGGGAGCGCCCGCGGTGGTAGATTATCCTAATCTCATTATTTTTCTTGCGATAAATGATGCCATCAACCAAGTAGAATGCAAAGTTCAAGAGGAAGGGGTGGTGCACCTCGCCCCGAGCGATGCAGGCAAAATGTCGGCGTAAGGATACGATGGTATGCACACGTATCCGCATGCATGCACGCGTGCACATACGATCGTACACCTACACATATGCATATTAAAATATATATATATATATATATATATATATATATATATATCTGTGTGTGTGTATGCGAGAGTCGTTTCGGGTGGCCCGCGGGTGAAGGTACGAGATGGCGCGGCGTGGGAGAAGAAGAAGGACGTCGTCTTTCTCTCCCCTTTATTTCCCCGCCTTCCCTCCGGTTACCCTTCTTCTTGCGTTCGTCCGCTATCGTTGTACGCGAGTGGTGCCCCGGGCGATAGACGCGCGGTGCCGCTGCATCCCACCGTGAAGCGGTGCGGTCGTTCCGCTGCGGGCGCGGAAACGAGAGATAGCGCGGCGAGCCTGGTCCTCTCCACCTTCCCGGTGTCCCAGTGAGAGAGAGGTGGTCGAAGGGCGAGAGCTATAGAAGGGCGGAAAGGGAGAAAGAAAGAGAAAGAGAGAGAGAGAGAGTGAGGGAGAAGAGGATCTCTCTATGTTGCCCTGGGGGTATCCAGCGAGACAATGCGCTCCGTGACGCTCCGGGCGACTCCAAGGCAGACCGTAGTTCTCCCTCGTTTTCTGCCCCCTCTGCTCGCCCCCTTCTAGGCCTCTGGCGATTCTTCGTTCTTTCGTCCCGCTCTTCTCTCTCCTTTTCCTTTCCCCTCTTTGCTTTCTTTCCTCCCGCCCCGCGTTCTAGTAGTTCTTTCTCTTCCTCATCCCCGCGAGAGTCTTTCCGTTCGTCATTTGCATGAACTTTTGCTGATATTGAAATTATTCTGTACGTGTGGGTGCGCAATTTTTAGAAAAAAGATCCATTTTGAAAAGAAGAAGGAAATTGCTGGGATTAATTATTGGGAAATAGAGAAGAAATTATCGTATCGACATAATTAAAAAAAAAATAAATTTATAATTTCTTACATCTCTTTCTCTCTCTCTCTCTCTCTCTCATTCTAATGAGAATTTATTTTAATCTCGTAAAAAGTGATGAAGAAAAGAATGCAAATATTACTTTGATTTTTTTCATCGTTCCTTTAATTTACTCTTGGCTTTTTCGATATTTTCTTGATTGCGACTTTATATCCCGCCGCGGTCGAATTATTACAACGTTTTCGGTGACCTTATTCGACTCTCGCTGTATTCCTCTCGGCATGTTTCCGGCGCGTCATTACTTGTCTCTAAATCTTCATAACTGTCTCCGGTGTATATCCAAAATGTAAAATTTCCAGAATGTCTCCCCAATTGCAATAAAGCGTTCTTCGGCGTCCTTCTTTACCTCGCGCCCGCTCTTATATCTCCCTAACACATAGCCTCCCCGTCCTCCTCCACGTCCTCCTCCTCTATTGCGTTCTCTCTTCTAGTGCACGCTCGCTTGGAGGGAGTAACGATGCCCTGGAGCGGGCCTCCGCGGCGCGGCACTGTGGTAACGATAAGCAACGAAATGAAATATTAATGAAGTACCTGAGCGCGCGTCCATTTTTCGCGGGCATCTCACCACCAACGCCTCAGGTGCCGAAGAAAAAGTCGGCTGGCTCATCGGAAGTAAAAGAATCATTGCTAGAAAACAGAGAAAAGGAAGAGGAGGAACGACTGCTGTGTTATTCCCCTGGTGTCCGGATTATTGCAATGTAACATTTTGATTCAGCGATATCTCTGGCATCTCAAGAAAATCATGTCGCTTAATTATCTTTCTCTCTCTTAATCGTTTATGAGATACAGATGTGTAAACAGAATATAAAATTTTATTATTATTGGTATTTTTTTCGTATGATCCTTCTTTTTATATCTGCCATCGTTGGGACTATATATTTAGGGACTTTCGAAAATGTGTAAAATAATGGAAACGTAAAGTTGCTTTATAAGAAAGTTTATAGAGGAAAAAGAGAGGGATGCAAGAAAATTCATGATGAAGAAGAAGATATCGAGTATATATTTTATTAGAGTTTTATTATGACATTTTAAAAATTTTATGTTTTAGAAATATGAGCTAAAAAAGAATGACACGTATCAACATCAAATAAAATCACAAATGTTTTGTATTAATTTCTTCGCAATTTAAATACCGAATCATAATGATATCTAGAGATACCTACTAATCGAGATGAAATGCATAAATTTCTGTAACAGCAAGTTTTTCATATTACATGTTGCTATTTTCAATTAGATATTTAT